GAACAGTTGCGATCACTCTTCTTCACCTCCTTCTCGTCAGCGGCGTCTCCCTCCGTCAGTGGTGCATACAGGATCATGTACCCAGAGGCCCCTTCAGCCTCTCGCCAGCGCACACGCATAGTGCTGTGTGTGACGTCCTGCAGCTGCAGACTGCTGACCGTCGGCAGCACCACTGACACACACACACACAACAGTTATGTTATGCAGATTTATGAACAGATGGTATAAACGGAAGTTATGGTCAGATGTCACTTTCAGATGTTGTAATCAGATGATATGGTCAGATGTTATGATCAGATGATATGGTCAGATGTTATGATCAGATGATATGATCAGATGTTATGATCAGATGTTATGGTCAGATGATATGATCAGATGATATGGTCAGATGTTATGATCAGATGATATGGTCAGATGTTATGATCAGATGATATGATCAGATGTTATGATCAGATGTTATGGTCAGATGTTATGATCAGATGTTATGGTCAGATGATATGGTCAGATGTTATGATCAGATGTTATGGTCAGATGTTATGATCAGATGTTATGGTCAGATGATATGATCAGATGTTATGATCAGATGATATGGTCAGATGTTATGATCAGATGATATGGTCAGATGTTATGGTCAGATGATATGATCAGATGTTATGGTCAGATGTTATGATCAGATGTTATGGTCAGATGATATGATCAGATGATATGGTCAGATGTTATGATCAGATGATATGGTCAGATGTTATGATCAGATGATATGATCAGATGTTATGATCAGATGTTATGGTCAGATGTTATGATCAGATGTTATGGTCAGATGATATGGTCAGATGTTATGATCAGATGTTATGGTCAGATGTTATGATCAGATGTTATGGTCAGATGATATGATCAGATGTTATGATCAGATGATATGGTCAGATGTTATGATCAGATGATATGGTCAGATGTTATGATCAGATGTTATGGTCAGATGTTATGATCAGATGATATGGTCAGATGATACGGTCAGATGTTATGATCAGATGATATGGTCAGATGATATGGTCAGATGTTATGATCAGATGATATGGTCAGATGTTATGATCAGATGTTATGGTCAGATGATATGGTCAGATGTTATGATCAGATGTCATGGTCAGATGTTATGGTCAGATGTTATGGTCAGATGTTATGGTCAGATGTTATGATCAGATGATATGGTCAGATGTTATGGTCAGATGATATGGTCAGATGTTATGATCAGATGATATGGTCAGATGTTATGATCAGATGTTATGGTCAGATGATATGGTCAGATGTTATGATCAGATGATATGGTCAGATGTTATGATCAGATGTTATGGTCAGATGATATGGTCAGATGATATGGTCAGATGTTATGGTCAGATGTTATGGTCAGATGTTATGGTCAGATGTTATGGTCAGATGATATGGTCAGATGTTATGGTCAGATGTTATGATCAGATGTTATGGTCAGATGTTATGATCAGATGTTATGGTCAGATGTTATGATCAGATGTTATGGTCAGATGATATGGTCAGATGTTATGATCAGATGTTATGGTCAGATGTTATGATCAGATGTTATGGTCAGATGATATGATCAGATGTTATGATCAGATGATATGGTCAGATGTTATGATCAGATGATATGGTCAGATGTTATGATCAGATGATATGATCAGATGTTATGATCAGATGTTATGGTCAGATGATATGATCAGATGATATGGTCAGATGTTATGATCAGATGATATGGTCAGATGTTATGATCAGATGATATGATCAGATGTTATGATCAGATGTTATGGTCAGATGTTATGATCAGATGTTATGGTCAGATGATATGGTCAGATGTTATGATCAGATGTTATGGTCAGATGTTATGATCAGATGTTATGGTCAGATGATATGATCAGATGTTATGATCAGATGATATGGTCAGATGTTATGATCAGATGATATGGTCAGATGTTATGGTCAGATGATATGATCAGATGTTATGGTCAGATGTTATGATCAGATGTTATGGTCAGATGATATGATCAGATGATATGGTCAGATGTTATGATCAGATGTTATGGTCAGATGATATGGTCAGATGTTATGATCAGATGTTATGGTCAGATGTTATGATCAGATGTTATGATCAGATGTTATGGTCAGATGTTATGGTTAGATGATATGGTCAGATGTTATGGTCAGATGTTATGATCAGATGTTATGATCAGATGTTATGGTCAGGTGTTATGGTCAGATGTTATGATCAGATGATATGGTCAGATGATATGGTCAGATGTTATGGTCAGATGTTATGATCAGATGATATGGTCAGATGTTATGATCAGATGATATGGTCAGATGATATGGTCAGATGTTATGGTCAGATGTTATGGTCAGATGATATGGTCAGATGATATGGTCAGATGTTATGGTCAGATGTTATGGTCAGATGTTATGATCAGATGTTAGGGTCAGATGTTATGATCAGATGTTA